AGCTCTAAAGACAACGACAGAAAGCCAGAGATACTGGGAACGGGGAAGCTGAAGTCAAAGTTTAAGGGCTAATGATAAATATCACAAAGCCTGCCATTTGTAATAAATAAATAAATCTTTTAAAGTGCATTCAATGCAGATGCGGGCTTTATTATGCTCAGAAATGAATTAGAAGAAATTTGTTAAGTGTGGGCTTGAATCCACATAAATGTCATTCTCCATCCTTGAAAACTAAACCTCTGCATCCCATCACTTTATGGAATGCTTGGAGAACCATAACTGAACTTATATCAAAATCAGATCCCAATTTTCTTCCCTCAATGCTTTATTTACAGAAGGTTAAATGATCTTAGTTCAAAGTTCAGTGGGGATAAATTATTCAATGGAACTGACTTAAAAAATCAATGGAAAATATGAGTTAGGTGTGTATTGTGATATGGGTGATGGGGTGACGTAGTGAACGTCTCGGAAACCGATAATGCCGAGGCTTACTCAAAGGAAACCCAGGACGAATGGTGAAATACATTGGAAATGGAAAAGTTATCAGTGAATTAGTGTTGGTGGTCGCGGCTAATGACTTAAAAGTGACTTACCAATTCGTTTTAACCGTGAAAAATATGATCCTACCCATATGGTGAAGATGGAGCATTAGGTCACAGATCTAAGATTCCCTTTATGGAAAGGTAAACCTCTCAGTGCTTCGAAATTCAAACAAATTAGAATTCATGGAGTTCCAGCTTCATTACCCTACATGCTAACACACCTCTTCTTCATATCCAATTGAAAGCGTTTGTTGCGCCCATTAATTAGTTGCTTTGTCATAATAAAATTGTTTGCGTTTCTTTTTTTTAATAATGAAAAAAGTAAAAGGAACTTTCATTGAAGTAAATTAATATATTTTAGAACACATATTTCAGCCCTAATTAAATGAGAGAACAAATAGAGCTATTTCATTATCCAGATATCTCACGGGTATTGCAAGGTGTCGGAGTGATTCTGTAGTCACAAAAGCACCTCCCTCGTTCTCCCTGCAGAATTCTTTCACCGCAGGTATATGTTCAATATCTAGCAGGGTTCTGACCCAACATCTCTCCTTACGATCCCAAAGTTGCAGGAGATACTTATCAAACGTCACAATGAAGCGTTCATTTGCGTAGATTCCCCTTAACTCACCGGGCTTACAGTGCTCACCTAGAATATTCGAGTTAGTGCTTAAATTTCTTCTCTTACCTGCTGGAATGGAACTGATAATCTCATTTTTAGTTACACTGTAAGTGATTATATTCTCTCCTTTCATATAAATAATATCACTGCAAGTCTTAAGTTGCTGCCGATGGGGTAAAAGACAAAATGGTACCGAGCCTGTGAAGAAGGAATCATATGTGTTCTCGAAAATATCAAAGACAAAAAAGTCGTCATCACGACTGAGGAGGACTTTCGAGCCGTCAAATTGCCTTATGGTGGCATTTTCAATTGTTATTAACTCTTTTAACACAGGTTTGTGGGTATTCACGTCCCAGGCTCGCAGGTAATTATCCCCTCCCATAGAAACGAGGTGATTGCCACACAGAGCAATACTTGTTGCCGGACCTTCAAGACCTACAAAAAACCTGATTTGGAAATTTTGCATTACCTTACCTCTGAATACATGAAGGCAGCATCCACTCTTAATATTCCAAAGACGAATTGTTCTGTCTTCAGCACTGCTAAGTAGTTCCCCTCTTGAATCAGGATTGAGAGGATCCCTCATTGAGGTCGAAATTGCAATATCCGTAATTAAATTAGTATGGCCGGAGAGTTTTTTATGAAGTACGAATTTGTTACTTGTTAAATCATAAATATGAATTTCATTAGAGTTGGTCATTGTTGCTAAAAAAATGCGGCCCAATACATGAGCCACTAGGAATTTCCTAGCTATTCCAGGAGGACCGACTATAACTCCTATTAGACTTCCTAGATATTTGCAATCGTAGACCATAATCGTGTCCCATTTCAATCCACAAAGAATCCATTCCCCACAAGTCTTGATGCATGTTACTTCTTGATTATAGTTGAAAATCTGCGCAACAAGCAAAGGGTTAAAGTTTTTCAAATAACCACTTTACGAGGTGGGAGTTAGATCGCATTGAAGCTTACCTCCTTTAACTTCAATTTTCGCACATCGAAATCAGAACTGAAAGCCCAACTGCGATCAATTTCAATACGCCGACGGCAATAATCTTTCCACCTTGGATAGCAGCCAACACGTTCATAAGGAGTATGATGGCGAATAAGCAGATCGCTTTCCAAGGAAGAACTCTCCGAAGCGCCCATATCTTTAGAGGGTCCTTTCCATGCGCTGTCATTCATCGCCACATCTCTCCAAATTTTCGAGACCTTCAAATTATAACGGAAAACAGATGACACAATGCAATATTACATTTTAACATTGATGTCTACGAGGTTGCGAATAACTAATATCAACACAGTCACTGCGTGGTGTTGGGTACCAAAGAAATATCAACTGTGGTTATGCCACGTATAAATTGGCGGTCTTTAGTGCATTAGAGGTTGTGTATCATCACATCAATAACTTATTAAATCATAATACACATTTACTACCAGACTCACCTGGGCACATTTCATGATGGTATCTGGGTCTGAATGGGTGTAAATCCTTAGTATTAGAATTGCAGCTAGCGATGAATCACACGTGTGATTCCTTTTTAAATGGCTTTTAGAAGAAGTTGCGTCATTGGATTCCATCTTCTATAAATTTTCTCCGAAGTACTAACAATATGGACAAGAGACTATAATATAAGAGGCGTTAGAATTCAGACACACATAACCGACTCTGTTAGTGATAATAAGAATTTAGTGCTGTCATTTGAATTATGAAATATATGCACTTGAAACCTACCCAGTGGTTAAAAGGCACTTGATGTAGGTACGTGTAGAAGTGAAATCAACCCACGTGCAAATTCACTAATGTCCCTAGCAAAAAAATTGATAAATCAAATGAAAGTCATGGTGAAAAGATTCAAACCTCGTTTTACTCTAATTTTGTAAAGATTCAATAACGTCTACTAATACTGAATCAGGTATAACGTTGTAAATATAAACTAAAAGGTATTACTAACTGTCCACTGAGATATGCTTAGTTTACGAAAATTCAGAATATAGAAATAGGTATTCATAATGTAGGTATTCTTACGTATTATTATTAGTATTGCAATCTGAACTTATACCGATCGATGGAATCTAATTAGTTGAAGCTAAAGTACCAATTCAATTAGGGAATTGAGCAAATGAAAAATATGATAATCAGCTTAATGATAACGAACCAATGATGTCGATATGATGCGTACAATTTTACCTTTAAATGAACGCGTTTTTCGAACAATCTTGACATCAGCAGAGAGGACTGCCAATTCTTTTGGCTAGGCGAATAATTATTGAAACGGATAATTGATGCTTATAATGCAGTGAGAAAGCGGTAAATGCAATTCAAGCAACACACAACTCGGAAGTTAAATTCTTTTCAGGATATTTAGTGCTACTTGAGAGTACAAAAGCCTCTTCAAAACCGACTGTTAAAACATTTTTTTGGTTACGAAATTAATACAATTGCTGGAAACACTTCAATGACCATTTGATGTGGAATATTATCAAAGTGACATTAATTCTTTTTCTGTTACATTGATTATATGTACATATATATATTTCTCCATCATTTGAAATAACACAAATTTAACACTTCACGCTTAGCTAATATAATTTTGACTTTTGATTTGAATCCAATTATCCAAAAAGAAGTATACTTTAAATTCAGGCGAATAATCGTGAATAAAATAGGTCAAATTATATTTCAAAATACTAGATGAAATGAATAAAATCACGAAAATTAATATTTGGCAATATACGATGGAAATTGATATTTAAATTTCAGATTCAAACACAGAAGTTGCATTTCCACTACCAGAGAATTGAAATGGAAGAAAATAGGATGACGATCAAGGTTGGAAGTTTTCGTAATGCTTATGTTAAAGGATATTCACTATGGAATACAGGGTGGCGCGATGACAGGAAGGCTCACCAAAACACATTTGCGGACTAATCATTTTAAGCAGTCAAATTTACTTGAAAAAGTGAAGTTGTGTTGTTATTTTCAGTCTTAAAACTGTGCCATTAAACTGGGGTGTCACTTTTACTCGCCTCACCTACTTGACAGCACACGATTAAGGCTGTGGGAAAGTGACAAAGAATCGATCAGTTGGGAAACTCAAGTTCTACCAAACTTTAGTCTGCCGAAATAGCATCAGTATGATATGCGACTTTAATGGCCTAATTGGAATTGCCATCAGTGATTTTCACAGTCATTTTCAATTAAAAATGAGAGAAAAATAAAATAATCCCTAAGGGAAATATTTCTTCAAAAACTACGTTTGGGTTGAAGAAATTCGAACAATAATGAAAGGCAACTACGCGAGAGTAAATCCATTGTTAGGTCAAGTTATCACCTCAACCACTCATCATGACCTTCCTCGCTATTAACCAATGCACTACTGACTAGAAATCAGTAGCATTTGAAAAGCACAGGATTGTTTATTGGCATGGTGAAATGCGCAGTTAGAGGAAGTGAGATAAAGATGTGGAGAATCAACGTGTGTGGGGGTATAGCTCAGTGGTAGAGCATTCGACTGCAGATCGAGAGGTCCCTGGTTCAAGTCCGGGTGCCCCCTAGTACTTCTTCTTTGAAATGATGACGGTGGAGACTACAGTTTACCGAAACCGGTGAATATTTGGCAATCTAAGTGCAACAATTTGTCCCACTCTTCAACCATAACTTCTATAATTGCCATCCCCCTTCCTCCAATAATCTACATCATTTTGGCAATCGTGATCTTGTGTAGTCTGCACATCAATTTACTATGGCTTTGAGCCATATGCACCACACTTAAAAGCCACATTTTCCAAATGTTGATTTGACATGAATTCAAATGCAAGAATTACTGCAGATTTTGGACAGAACTTATTCTTATTGACTTTGGCACACCTCAATACTTTACGATATATGTTCCATTTGGTAAGTTTTGAAAGTAGGCGATTTGAAAATGAG